ATTTTAATTATTTAATTAATTTTGTTTTTATCCAAATACCTAAATGAAATAATAATAATTATTAAACGGTTATTGACAAGTGAAAAATTAATTAGTTTAATTATTTTCATAGTTTGATATAATAAAAATAAAATAACTAATTATAATTAATTATTTAAAATTAAAGAATATAATAAAAATTATAAATATTTTAAGAAAAACAGACATAAATTTTCTTTTATCTGTATGAAAATATTAGAATACTTTGTTTAGTTTACCGTCACCTTATCCATAAATATTTTATTCTTTAAATCTTATTTTATAAAATATTTAACCAAACCACTTTTTAATATATTTTTAATTTAGAACTGCTTAATAAAATTTTCTACTAATATAATATTAAATTATTTGTTTAAATAAAATTATCGTGTGGATTAAGAATATTTGAATTTGAATTTGTAATTAATGTGAGTAATGTGTCATGATTAATAATCTTTGTTTAGCTTCCTTTGTAAATATTTTTGTAAATATCTAAGACGTCTTCTATCTCAATTATCAATTCTAGTAATGGACTCTTTGATTTTGTGGTCATCAGAGACAACAAGTTGTCTTGATCCAAAACCGTCATCATACTAGTAAGTGTTCGAGCAACCAAATTAAAAGAAAATTGGCTGACATCTAAGAAACACTGTAATAGCCCAAAAATAAATAAATAGGTTGACTTAGATACAAAGGACAAAATCGAACTTTCTTAAGGATAAATCAGTGACACCAACTTAAGCTAATCAGGTAAGTAGCCTTACGATCGACATGGTTATATTTGATGTTGACACGTGCCCCGTGGTTCTGTACGTGTCGTATATATTGACATGTGTGAATTGCCTGTGAATCGATATGCTTCTTATATGTTATGTATATATTATAATATGTGAATTGTATGATAATAATTACGGTATGTTGTGTTCAATGATATGTTTGAGATAGGATACGAGAAGGATGCACAAAACGAAATGTAATGATAGGAGTAAGATACATTCATGAAACGTTAAGGTTAGGTTACATACCCGAGTGCTATGGATATGAGAGATTGATGAAATAATACGGTTAGGTTATAGGTAGAAAGAGATAGGTTTGTGATAGACTGATAGAATGATAGCGTTAGAATACGTTCCTGTGATGATATGACAAAGGTACGTTTACTGTAACGGATGGGATTAAAAAAAAAATGGAGTCGTCGGCAGAACCGAAAACTTCGGCGAACGCTGGAGTTTTCGTTCACACACAACCCACAAAGGGCGGCCGAAGGCTGGGATGCAACGGAAACTCGATCTGGACCTTCAGCCTAAAACACCTGCAAAGAAGGGAAAAAATAAAGAAAATGAAGAAGACAGAGAAAATTCGACGAAACTCCGGCGAGGCCAAACCCTACGAAATCGACGTCAAAACCTCCATTTTACGCAACAAAAGTAATCCCAGAGCTTTTTACACATATCAGGGGTAGATTTAGACGAGTTCTATACATTAAACACTGTCGGCAAGGGAGACGGAACGTCGGATTTCCGAACTCTTCCAGATCCGGGAGTATGAGGCCTTTACGAACCAAATCAATACCAAAAATGAAGTTAAGGGGAGAAAGAGACTCGAGAACGGAGGAAAAAGGAGGGAAAAAGGATATCGAAACGACGTTAACGAGGAGAGAGAGAGAGGTCGCCAGAAAAATACACGGGCAACCGGGTGAAGAAGATGAAGTCCGACCCGAGGGTCGGATCCCGCGACCCGAACCGAACCCAACCACCGTAGGTCAGCCCAACACCCGACAACTCCCGCGGCCCAATTGCCTCAGCCCAAACCCGTAAGCCCAGTTACGGCCTAACCCATCAGCCACGACCCGAGACCCGCAAGCCCAGTCCAACGCCGACACGCACAGCCCAGCCCACCTACACTTTTCCTTCAGCCCGGGCCGGCCCGTCACCCGCGAACGACCCGAAAACCCGCGAGCGACTCGACAACCCGCACCTCGACCCGAGACCGCTGCACACGCATCGCCCTCTAGTTGTGCCATGTGGCACGTTTGCAGCGTGACACCCCTCGGCTTCGATGGCTTAATCGGCTCAGCGGCGGCTTCTCGACTCTGGTGACTTATTCGACTCGAAAAACCTTTTTTCAGCCCGTTTTTCACCGTTCCGACCCTCTCCGACTTAGTTTTGGCCCTATTTAAGGTAAAATAGATCTTTTAAGGTCGTATTTCACAAATTCAAGTTGGAAATTAATTATGTTTGTGAAATACTAATGAAGGTGACGAATGATCCAATAGGAACCAACCACCAACGGAAGCGTAGAATGTTCACGAGGAGCTAGGAGCTCACGTTTATATTTTAGGGAGTAATTCGGCTAAGGCCTACCAAGTAAGTGGCTCACCCGTCGTAGATTACGCGTTATTTGTTGTTTGTTGGCACGTGCCCGTTGGTTCGCACATATCATTAAATTGTATGCTAGATTGTTGTGCTTAAGTACGTAATCATGTAAACGTGAATGTATGTCATGTATGCTGTTTAGTCTGATGTGATATGTAATGCATGTGACAATATGTTGTTCTTGTATGATTATGGCATGAGTGTATGGAGTATTTGAATGTAAACCGCATGAATTGTATGACATGAAATACAGTAAACTGTCTGGAAACATAACCCCGATAGGATATGCATGATACGTAAATTGAAAATGAGAATGACATGTAAGCATGGAGCGTGATAGGGGGGTTATGTTCATTAATGATAAATGTAGAAGTAATGGGGACCTCATGCATTATGTGTGTTCATGCATCTAGGGGGATACATCTATTATCCCATCACGAGGGTACGAACGCGTACATCCAATGGCAGGACAACGATCGTTATGCTTTACATAGCGCTGCTGTGACGGTTACTAGTTCTAACGGGTTCCGGCATAAGGGGCTCCTAGAGTATGCCCACCGGATAAGGAAAGTGGTCCAACGGCGTGCGAACTAACTGGTGAGCCCATACTCGCACGTATGGGCTTTGTGTAGAGTATATGGTACACGTCTAAAGTTTACCCGTTAAGACAGCACCGTAGGGAAAACGAAATGAAACGAAAGATAGGTCCCATAATTTCATTGCATGTGATTGTTGCATAACCCTGATAGGGGGTCACTTACTGAGTATTCTAGAAATACTCAAACCTCGTGCTACTTTACTTTTTTTCAGATAAGGGCAAGGCACCCATGTGAGATCGTCGGTAGCATCGTACACCCCGGAATTGTGGCACATGCATAGGGTAGTTGCTTCCCATTTCCTAGTATAGTTAGTATAGGTTGAATTCTGTTTACTTCACTGGTATAGGTTAGTATAGGTTGAATTGTAATCGCATAATAAACCATAGGGTAGTTTGAGACAATTATTTCAATATTGTTCTTTTCCTTTCTTTTCCTTTCTTTCCCTTGTATTCGTTTTCTCTTTCACGAGGTAATAAAAGGCGAGTGTAAGTCGCATTTATTATCGGGGCCCATTTAATGTAAATTCCGCATTCCAAGGTATAGTAATGACCTTAGATTAAGTAGGTAAAATTTAGGGTCGTTACATTTACGCAACGATATGACTGTGAAAGGTATAAGAACGTTAAGACTATGATAAGTTAGGGAACGATATGACCACGAAGTGTTTACGATATGATATGTTTATGATACGATATATTGTGATGTGATATGTTATGTTTAGATTGTTTTATATAACCATTGAGGTAATTGTTGTATGAATGGCACGTTATGAAATGATATGTTAAAAGCATGAAGCGTTATGTTATGTTTCCTAAATTGTGTATATACAGCATATTATGAATGATATGATATCACGATAAATGAAATGAAATATAAGCCCGTTAGAATTATGCATGATATGAGAACTGAAAAGTGAGAAAAGATATGATATGAATGTAAAACAAGAGCGGGGTTATATTTAATAATGTCGAAAATGGAAAAATATTGGGACCTCATGCATTATGTGTGTTCATGCATTGGGGGATACCCCTATTTCATCACAATGGTATGTACGCGTACACTAATGGGCAGGCGTACGATCATTATGTTTTACGTAATGCTGTCAGCAGGGTATGATCATTATGTTTTACATAATGCTGCTGGCAGGGGTACAATCACGGTTACTAGTTCTAACAGGTATCTAGCCTAAGGAGCTCCCTGAGTATGTTCCCCCAACAAGGAAAGTGGCCTAGCGGTGTGCGAACTGATTGGTGAGTCCATACTCGCATGTATAAGCTATGTGTAGAGTATATGGTACACATCCAAGTTACCCGTTAGGACAGTACCCTAGGAAATTAGATTGAAAGGATAGGTCCCGTCATTACATTCGCATGTTCTTGCATTTAACCTCAGTAGTGGGGCCACTTACTGAGTATTTTGGGCTACTACATTTTTTTCAGGTTAAAACAAGACATTCCTGTTGGGCTGATGACGACATCGCAACTTGAGATCATGGTGTATTTATTTTCTTAGACTTTTGTTGTGTCATTTTTTAAAAGTGTTTTCGAAAGCGTGAGTCCATGATTGTGTTTTAAGATAAAATGTTATATTTTACGAAATTTAAATAAACTCTTTCAGAACTCAATGTTTATGATATGTATACCGTAACGACCTTACATTAAGTAGAAAATTTCGAGTCATTACAAACACCATTTTCATGTTAAATATAGAACAAAAATTTTTATTTTCGACAAATCCTGAATTGATTAGTATTGAGTATTGACTAAATATATTGTTGGATGTGACCTATATGTGGAGGTGACCTCGATAATATGTTGAAACGAGTAAAAAAAAAAAACAAAGTAACACGAGATCTTTGCGAGTATTGATCTCGTTTCACTATGTCGGGACATTATAAAACAAACAAATATGTAGTACGAGTAAAAAAAAACTCATACTACATGTTGGTTACGATGCATTCTAGAGCATTATCTAGCCAAAAATCACGACATTATCTAACCAAAATATCACGACAATCAATTTTTATATCTCTATCCCCTGCAAACAGTTTTCAATTGTATCAATACAGAATCCGATCGATTTCCCCAACGCCATAACCTTTGCGAGTATTGATCTTGTTTCGCTATGTCGGGACATTATAAATGCCGTGTTCATCGCAGCCCATTTGAAAAGACGATCAGCATCAGACTTTGGAAGGCCAAGCCATATAAGAACACTCTCCAGCTATTGCAAATAACAATAAGAAATAGGTACTAGAAAATGGAAAACAAGTAGAGAAAATCATAAGGAAAGGACTTGTTTGTTTTACCTTGAGAATATCTGCTAGATGGCCATCAGAATTTCCAGCAACTAGAAGCTCAGCCACTAAACCTCCCAATATTACACATGAAAACTGCTTCAATTTCTGAAAACACCAAACGAAAACAAGATTCTGTTCAAAAAACTTCTCTAGCAATTCCCCAAGTCAAAAGTTATTCAAGATAATCAGACCATTCCTCTATTTTAGGAATTCGATTGAATATCAAGATTTCCCGTCTTCGAGCTGGGATCGAATGCGGTCTAATGAACAACTACAGTTATTTTAAGAATAGGATGAGTAAAAACAACTTTAAAGAAGAAAACAGAACAACGACGGATTGAAAAATAGTTGAACTTTTATTAAATTTAAATTCTAAACGACAAACAACTATCAAAGAGCACTTAATTTTCGATGTTTTATCTTTCTCAAAAGATTGGATGTGTGAGATCCCAAGTTGGTTGGAGGGGGGAACAGAACATTAATTAAAGGGCGCGTGGAAACCTCTCACTAACAGACGCAATTTAAAACTGTGAAGCTGACGAGATACGTAATGGGCCAAACTGGACAATATCTACTGACCATGGGCTTAAGCTATTATAGTTGACACCAAAGCTAGACGTCAGACAATATGGCAGTAGGACGTTAGGCCCCCAAGGGAGGTGAAATGTGAGGACGGTGTGGCAGCAATGAGTCCCCAAAGGGTGGATTGTGAGATCCCACATGGATTGAAGAGGGGAACAAAACATTACTTATAAGGGTGTGGAAACCTCTCACTAACAGACGCGTTTTAAAATTGTGAGGCTGATGACGATACATAATGGACTAAAGCTGACAATATCTACTAGCGGTGGGCTTGGACTATTATAGTTGGTAGTAGAGCTAGATACTAGATGGTATGGCAGTGAAGGCCTCCAAGGGGGGTGGAATGTAAGGACGGTGAGGACGCTAGCCCCAAGGGGTGGATTGTGAGATCTCACATAGATTAGAGAGGGGAACCGTGTGGAAACCTCTCACTAACAAACGTGTTTTAAAACCGTGAGGCTGACAACGATACATAATGGGCCAAAGTGGACAATATCTGCTAGCGGTGGCATACAAACTTATTCCAACGGATCAAAACCAACTAACAGAAAGTCATTAAAGGCGATAGCATAAAAAGTAAGAAGTGAACTTCTCACCGTTGAGGAAATTGTGCCTTTATTTTCCTGTCTGCCTTTATTTTCCTGCATGATACAGAACAGATTAGAGCTATAGAAATCAGGATTAATACATTAAAATAAGTGAACAAATCTCACCCTCTTATGCAAATTTATTATATCAGCATTTTCCACCAAAATCTTAATTGAATCAATCTGCATGGAGAGTTGATCAGAATGAACATTAGTTTCGCCTCAGACTCTTTTACAAAACCTTCAAGGGATAATATTGAATGATACTAAATCAATAGGGCAGAGGAATCAGAAGAGATCGCAAAAATCAGCTATGAGATCCCACATCGATCGGAAAAATAAACGAGTGCCAGCGAGGATACTGGACATCGAAGGAGTGGATTGTGAGATCTCACGTTGATTGAGGAGGAGTACGGAACACCCTTTATAAGGATGTGGAAACCTCTCCCTAACAGACACGTTTTAAAAACCTTGAAGGGAAGCATGAAACAGAAAGTCTAAAGAGACTGTAACCGCCCAGATCCACCGCTAGAAGATAATGTCCTCTTAGGGCTTTCCCTTTTGGGCTTCCCCTCAAGGCTTTAAAATGCATATGCTAGGGGAAGGTATCCACACCCTTATAAAGGGTGTTTTGTTCTCCTCCCCAACCAATGTGGGACATCACAACGACAATACTCGCTAGCAGTGGGCTCAAACCATTACATAACATTGATAATCTATCATATTTCTTTGAAACAGTGAGGAGGCAAAACCAAAAAGTGCCTTAAAAGTGGATTTTCTAAGAAGCCTTATAGATCAAATATATGAAGGAAGATCCAAGAACTTCATGAAAAGGATCTTACCTCCCCAAGAAATTCAAAACCAACAAATGAAACATTTCCTTCAGCAAATCTATTCTGTCTCAGAGCTTGAATGCTTGGCACCTCATATTGTTTTGGAAGAACACCCATCAGATAGCCAACGAGAAAATGTCCAGCTTCATGCTGCACGCATAATCCAAACTTCCAATTATAAACTCGAACTCACAAACAATAGTGAAAACATCCATGAAAGAATCAGTAAATTTAGCTCACTTTACTTGTGCACATATGAGGTGTTCTTCTTCCTCACAGCGAGAAGGATATCTACCTTCAGCAATTAAACTCTCTAGCCTTTCAGCAGAGATCTATAAGAGAACGAACGGATAAATGAAGAGACATCAAATTTTCAGAAACAAAAACTTGCATAACAAGAAGCAGAGAATGTACCTGAAGACATGGCTGAATTGAATCCAGAATCGAATCCACCAATGGTTGGAGGGATAAATTATCCATTGCCGAAGGCCTCTTGGTTATCTACGCCATTTTCAGTAAGATTTCGAAGATAGAAAGGATCGAAATCAACGATGCTTTGACAGAGAGAGATGAACCTGTTTGGCGGCACCGAAAGCACGAAGGCCGTAGGGTTTCCCCTGCAACTGCTTGACCAACGAAAGAGCGGATTTGTATTGACGCTTCGACAGCGCTCGATCCACAAGCTTCAGAGCACGACGTCGTTTGGCTGCACCATCACCGGAATCGCCTCGTTTCGCGGACGAAATGACGTCTCCAGTCACCGGAATCCTCCGATGAAACTCAAGGTTGAAGGTGAAATCGCAATCCGCAGCAGTGAAGAACATATCTCTTCCGTTTGGCGTTTCCCGAGAAAGAAAATGGAAAAGAAATTAATCCACGACACAAATTTAGTTGTTGATTATTTATTTGTTTATTATTTATTTATTATTATTTATTTATTATTATTATTATTAAAAAAAATTCAATATTCTTTCTAATAATCTATTGTAACCTAGTTTTAGATTTGGCAGATTGATTAAACTTAAACTTAGTCTCCCGAGTGAATACATATTTAAATGATTAGTTCACTCATGATTGTCTGTATTTGCATCGGACCCAATAGTGAGGTTGAATATCTTAAGCCAAATGTTATTTTTAATTTGAAGTAAAGGCAAGTAGGCAAGTGTTGGGATATAGAGCCTAATGCCTAGATTGGGTAGAGATATAATTGGAAGATATTTCGTAAAGATACGATATATATATATATATATATATATAAATATAATGTTAGATTATATACCGTAGGTTTAAATCTTTGTAAGCTATATTTAATAAATTGAAACCGTATATATACCTATTAGGCAATGCTGTCAAAATGTACTTCTCTTCATTCTCGTGTTTTCTCTTGTTATACATATCTGAAATCATCGATAATAAAACCTTTAGTCAATATTCCTCCTTGTATTTTCTCTCTCCTGTTCTTTATATTCATCTTGATCGAGTGTGTGCGTTGTTGAGCGATCTTAACAATTGGTATCAGAGCTAACAACGGGTATCGATCCTAACATTGTATTTTCTCTCTCATGTTTTTTATATTTATCTTGATCGAGTGTGTGCGTTGTTGAGTGATCCTAACAATTGGTATCAGAGCTAACAACTGGTATCGATCCTAACAACAAGTCAAATGTGTATGATCAACAATGACATCAAAATTCAGAAACCATAAAACAAGTAAAGAATAATTTGCATTTAATTTCGTAGACTATAGGTTAATACGAGATATTTCTATTTTAATTTACTAAAAATTCAACCGAACTAAAACCGAGAGAAAAAAAATGATCGCTTGTATTCGAAGTACCGAGTATTATAGATCAATCCAACGACCACCAAGAATATAAGCTCTTGTTTATGTTTAGAAGCCCACAAAGAAGCTAACTTTACAAACATGGTTACCAAAATAGAATAGAGATGGATAAACATGGGAAGAACAGAAATGAGATGAATTTAGTGGGTTACCTACATGGCAGATGACCTCCATTTTTCTACCCCAAATTCCTTGGTGATCTTCTAAGTATCATTGTTTCTCTTTCAACGCCAACCTTCCCACGTTTCTTCACACTCTCCGTCCCTCCATTTTCATGAACTGCGCTGCTTTCCTTCTGTGTCGATACCCCATTTTGATACCCATGGTCGTTAATATTAGGGGGAAGAGCAGCAGGATCCAATTCAAATGACCCTTTTGGAACGCCTTCTCCTTCCTTTCCAGTCATTCTAACCGAAGGGATTTGATGAGAGAATCTGTACAGCTCGTTGGGTGGGATGTTAATGGAGTTTAGTCTATGCTTCTCACTAGTCTGAAACAAACAGACAAAGCCCTTGACCTTGTCCATGAAAGCAACCGAGATGCCAACATCTTCGTCATAATCTCCCAAGATCTCAACGAAATGATACACAAAAGCTGTGTGTTTTTCAGGGTTAGAGCTCCATTTAATGTCCCAATCCTTGAAAACAGCCCATGTTTCTCCTTTTCTGGGATACATGAAGAAAGAATTCTTGAATCCCCCCCGCTTGGGGCAATGTACTAAATGAGAGAACATGGGAAGATCAGCTGTTACCTCAGTTTCTCCTATTGTGTACTTCCCGCATGCTACCGGCAATTCTGCATCACTCCATTCAATTTCATCTTTGTCATCTGGGTTTGGTTCGAACCAGGTAAACTGGAGCTTGAATTCTGGGGAGAACACTTTTCTAATGCGGGCGTAAAATCTTGGCATGCCATCAATGATGTCATATATAGCCCATACCTGATTGACTGCAAAACAAGCTTCCATTTTATCCTTGTCGAAATCGCTAAACTCAGGGTCTGCACATACCAGAACATGTACTCCTTTCAAGTCTGTGTTGGGCTTGAGTTCATGTTTGATGCCCTTGGCATCACCATCAACAGTTCCATGACAAACAGAAGAGTTGTTCATCTTCTCTTTCAAGTCTGCTGATTTTCGTTGTCTCTTCCTGTTTTCAGTCTTGGTTGGAGGCTTTTTCGTGCTTGTTGCTGCATTGGATTTGGGCTTAACGTTACCTCCCTGTCTATCTTCCACATCCATATGTTGTGCCTTCTGTTTCTTTCCAGCGTTAGTATTCAAATCAACTCCAGCAGATCTGTCCCGAGATTTCTTATCAGAACCATGTTTGTTTTGTGCAGCAGATTTGGAAGCTCCTGCTTTTTTCTGAGGGATGTTAGCTTGGTGGGATGTTCGAGGCATCGTTTCGCTACTCAAATCACGAGGGATGAAACCACCGCCACAATTCTGGCAACGCAACATCGTATTAAGATAACATTTGAGGTACTGATACCTCACATTACAAAATGGGCAGCATGTCCAAAAAGCCTGCTGTGGCTGTGGCTGTGGTGGCATATAAGAATTCCCTCCACTTGAGTAGCCATTTGCAGCTCCACTCGCTTGGTTGTTGAATCCATTTCGCTGATCATGAGATGACTTGGAAGGTGCAATATTTCTTCTTGCAGCTCCATACTTCCTGTCATATAACATGCGTTTTGACTGATCAGAAAGCAGTCTGTTGGCTTCACCAACAAGTTTGAAAGCAGCTTCTGCACCAGAAAACTTGTTCTTATCTGGGTGGAGTAACAGTGCGAGCTTCCTGTATTGCTTTTTTATAATTGTTTCGTCTGCTGATTGATCAATTTGAAGAATCCCATACCAATCATTTTCCGTTCCATAGATTCTATTCTGTGCTGAACAGTGAATCTCACATACAGTTAACAATTGAGTAATGTTTTCAAGCGAAGGAAAGAGTCTATGTGCTGCCTGAGCCATCTTCTTCGCCCCAATAAAATCACTGATCTCCATCTTCTTCTCAGCAATTTTCATAGCCTTGATGGCCTCTTCCATGTTACAATCCATTTCTACCACGTTCAAGCATTAACCATTTAAATTGTCAAACACAGAAGACTCTACTCTTGCTGCTGACAATCCACCAGCACCAAAACTCGATAGTTACAATCTGCATTAATGTAAGCAAATAAACTAATAACAACACTCTCCAAGTCTTTTTAAACAACAATGTATATCGATCTTCATGATTTGAAGTGCAGACATCAAATCAAGCTTTGAACAGAGAGAATCTTACCACCAAAATAGTTGGACAGACTGAAATGAACTTGAAGCAAGTCGTTTAAATAAGCCAATGGAGCATGAATGATGTTCTTGCATCTTAATCAAAGGGATTGGAGATACATTATCCATGAGTGCGAAGGATCCTAATACTTGAAATTAATACCTGCAAGCACAATTCAAATACCAAAAAAAAAAAAAAAAAAAAAAAA